ATGTGAATACAACACCCACTGCATAGCAGACATAGTTTAAGTGCTTTACATTATTAACTAATTAATTTAATCCTCAAAACAACCAAAGGCGGTAACAGTTTTCTTACCTCCTATCAAAAATGAAGAAACTCAAGCACAGAGAAGTTGAGTAATTTGCCTACAGTTGCACAATTAATGAAAGCCAGATTCAAACCCTGTGTAGCGATCCACTATTCATTTTAACCTCCACTCTATCCTACCTCTCTCCAGTTAAAACATACTAGAATCGCTGGTAAAGAGAAAGTCTACAGTCTACACATTCCATCAAGTAGCAGAAAGAAAACAATATATCAAAGTGAGAAGGAACAAGGGCATCATACCCATAATAAATCCTAAGTGTATCTAGGAGAAACTGCACACCATACTTCTTTCGGAAAACTCTCCTGCTGTCTTTAATGATGGTTGAAAGATACTGTATGTGACCTAAAACAGAAAGTTCAATGGTAAGTAATTCAGCTAAAACAAAGTCAATAGGTAGTTATAAATTTCTAAAACAACTATAAAGTTTTTATCTGAAAGCCTGCTCTTACCAATTCGAAAGGGAAAATCTCCACGGTTCCAAATACGAAAGTCAAAGAGTAAATACTGATACATTTGTTGCAGGAGCTGCATATTTTTCTCTAATGATACTTGTTCAATTAGTAACTGAACTGCCATCAATACATTAACATCCATCAAGGTGCTTGGCACCTGAAATCAAACAGAAGAGGGTTTCATATAGTTCAGTTAAATAACTGTCATTAAGCTATAATTTTAAATCATTAATTCAGAACATCTACTAAGCATACAAATAGAAAAACCCACATTAGAAAAACAAAAACTTAAGTATTGGTTTTTCTGATATTACACCACAGTATATTCTCCTACTGTCATATTCCTAAAATAGTCTTATATTTCTCAATATCCCAAATACCAAAGCTATCAAACAAGGTTGTATACATCAAAGATCATACACTATTACATAAAATAAGTATTTCTTATATAAGATGATTCCATGCAAGTTTTTAAAAGCTGCCTGTGAAACAAATTATATCCATTAATAAAACCCAGGTTGTAATAATCCTTAAAAATATATTGATTAGGAAGAAAAAAATCCCAACATCAACTGCAAATCACAATCATTAGTTACATCAACACAACGTTAGACTGGCTCACCTTCTGAAGTAAAGTACCAAGAGTTGCAACTCCATGGGAGTGAATAAGATTGTCCTGATTGATAGGATGTCTCTGAATAAAATGTTTCACAATCAAGATAAATGTTGCAACTAGGTTTCTCTCTAGTCTTGACTCTGTGGAATCAGGAACATATTAATTATCATAATTACTCTAATCATTTTTATATCACATTTTCTATATCTTAATGCACACTGTTATACAAAGTAGAAATCTGGTTCAGCAGTCAGCTTCCAACGCTCTATTGTACAATAGAATCAGAAAAAGCAGCAACTGCAATATTGTATATTTATGTGCACATATTTTCTCTACCACAAATTTAACAATGTGGTCATATTTCCACTAAGAGTATAAGCTAAGGATATTGGAGATCAATCTGCAGTTTTCTGATGAAAGTATTATAAACTTTCTGAATGATATTAGTAAAAGTAGAAACAACTGCTACAGCTACAAATGGTTAAGTTTCTTCCGAATGACAGTAAAACATTTTCATCTATTTCTCAATTAACTTTCAAATTTCTCAATGACTATTTTGTGTTAATTTCATCTTAATACCTGAGGCCTTTGTGGAAGTCAATACGAGCCAATCTCCTTCAACAGGTGTTACTGATTCAGGAACGGTGCTTTCATTCTTTTCTTCAGGAATCTGTCCTTCACTAAAGTGGCTGATTTGTTCCAATAAAGGAAAGAGTACATTTAACCCGCCTATGCAGTTTATGATATCCTAAAGGGAAAATTATAATGTTTAAATCTTATAAAACAAGGACAATTTTGTCATTTAATATCTTCACATGTATGAAGTTAAAATTTGCTAGATAAACCTTTAAGCAATATGTAGGATAACACAAGCTGAAGAAAGTTTTGGGTAGGAAGATGCTTTACAGGGCACCTTCAAGGGTCACCACAATCAATACTCAAGAGAAATCAGGCCAGATCATTTTTACTCCATCTTTGTTTTCCAAAGTTTAGGGATTTTGAACATAGGCAAATAAAACAGCCCCATAAGTGGACTTTATAATGTAACTCCAACAATGGAAAAACAACTGTCACTAGGCAATTAGGCATAATAAACAAGAGAAAAAATAATGAAAAAAAAATGCACCTGGTGGTAGAAATATGACTGACTCCTCAACTTTTAGTTTACAAAAAGGTAGAGAGGGTATTTCAGCCAAAGTTCAAAGTTTGGATATTTTGGCTTAATAAAATATTTTCTATATCTTTTGATAAGTTACTAATATCACTGGCCTCAGTTCTTCATCTGTAAAATGGGAATAAAAATAACACCTACTTCATAAAGTATTGCAAGGATTAAGTAAGCTAACATATAAAAGGTGCAGTGTCTGACATACAGTCGATACCATACGAGGTTTGCTCTTATTATTAATTATTAAAGTGTTCTGAATTGCCATTTGGATACAAGTTAAGTCTTCAAACAACCTCTTCATATTCTTTGTTTTCTTAGAAATAAATTTTATTGTGTATATTTGAGTTTACAACATAATGTTGTAGGATACACATAGATAATAAAATGGTTACTGTAGTGAAGCAGATTAACATTTCTATCAACTCACATAGTTACTTTGTGACAAGAGCAGCTAAAATCTACTTATTTAACAAAACTCCCTAAAAAAATGTAATTTTATTAAACTATAGTCCTCAGGTTTTACATTAGATCTCTGGACTTATTCATCCTATATATCTGCTACTTTGTTGAGTTTTTCTTGTTTGTTTTTGAGACAGGGTTTCGCTCTGTCACTCAGCTGGAGTGCACTGGACTGATCACAGTTCACTGCAGTCT